AAGACAGCCGTCACGCCGTATAATGCGTGACGGTTTCTGGTCCTCGCGCCATCGAAAGCGATATGTATCTGGCCCGGAGACCTCCTCAATGCATGCTGAACGGCATCGCGATGGCGCTCGAACTGCTGAATAGCCAAGCTCTGGATAGTCTTAGCAGTAACATGCGCATCCTTGATACGCACCGCAGGATTCAGGTATTCGAATATTTGTCGCAGACGTGGATGTTCGACCTGCCTGAATGACTGCTGGCTCTCTACTATCCAGTTCACCACCAGCTTCTGGAACTCGGCTTGATCGAATCGTCGGATTAGGTTGTTCGCCAGGGCCTGGTCGTTAGGCTCCAAACGTTTGAGGCCCATGAGGTCTGTGATCGATGCGAAGGCTTTCCTTCCCTCTTTCGTCTGCAGTGGCGTTCGTCGTCGTCCTGACGGATCCCAGTAGCCGTGAGACTTCCAGAGGTGGTGCTCGGCATTCTGTGTGCCTCTTGATTCGTATGACTGTGGTGATGATGCTTTTTGGCGCACGCACGGCATGCAGATCCATCGCCTGGACGCTTCTGATTGAATCTCAACGCCGTAGTCCCATATCCAAGACACCGTATCCTTGGTTCGTTCGGCTAGTGTGAAGCCCTTCCAGACGCGGAATATGCGCTGCTCCTCATCTGAGGATGGCGTCCAGGATGTCAAAGGAATTTTTCCCGCGTCTAGAAGGGCAAGCCTCGGGAGCAGTAAAGCATCGTGCGGGGTATCATCGCTAGCTGGTGTTTTAGGTTCGATGTTGGTAGTTACTGGCTCGGCCATGTTTCAGCTGCCAGTCGCCTCGTGTTGCAGGTGGCCTAAAATGGCGACGCGTCGCAGGACGCGACAAGGCGCGCCCGCCGTACTGTAGTGGGTGGATAGTGCCGACAACTAGTGTTACGTCGGCCCCAGCGAGCGACTTAGGTTGGCCTCTTACCCTGCAGCAGAGCTTCCGTTTCTCGCGATGCTGGACGACTGGTCAATCCATCCATATCGTCCATCAAAATGCGCAGCACCGTGGATTGGTTGATTATGTAACAATTCAAGTCGTGGGTTGACGTTGACGCGTGTTGAGGTCAATATATTGGTCAACCAGTGGATTTCGTGGATTGATTCCTCACCCTGGCGGCGCTGTTGAAGGTATAGTGTAATCGCTTTAATACCTCATTAGCGATAATGATAGAAGATGTCCAAGTGAAGATGTATATTCTAGTAAATTACAAGCTATCTTTTCGTCAATCGTAGAAGCCAAGTTGCAGGTTAAAGCCCCAAGCCCCGAACCGCCATCTAAGAATATATTACTCAACATCTACATCGTGATATCTAGCCAGACAATTTTCTCCTGGGAACTGGGACTAAAGGGAACATATTATACCCTATTGATTTCGGTTTGGCTAAGGAATTTTACATGACAGAGCGTATTCAAACCCTACAGGGCTGGCCGTGTAGTGGTACCAGGTGATACGCGAGTCTGAATAATCATAATAGACGAGGTGCATTCTCTGGCGGCCTTACTCCCGCTACTTGTGGATGGCTTAGAGTCGCTAGCATTTCGCTGTACTTTATGCGTGGCTCGTCGCCCTGGCAGGGCCTCAAAGCCGTGAGTGAGGAAGACAAGAATGATTTAATTAAACAGAAAAGGCTAAACCTACCGGCGGTAAAGCTTTATGAATGACTCCCTAGGGAGTTTGTAATATATGTTATCTATCCTTAATAACTGGGATTTAAGGATAGGCCTAATTACGCTTACCTTCGCCGACTCTTCCGTTGCGCTTCTTGAGTAGTGGTTTTAAGTAAGATAAAGTTTTTGATTGGACGGAGCGGCAGTTTCGCGATACGCATGGCGACGTCGAGACGATAGCTCCAACAGCTGAAATATGAAAAGAAAGACCAAAGTGGAAGAGAATCGACACTAGTGCTTGAAAAGGATCAGAGGAGCTCCCCTGAGGAGTATCACCAGAAGTCATCGCTGCGAAGCCCGGTTAAGCGGCAGGATGTTAGAGGATTTTACAGCAATGTGTCCTCCCGTTAAATCCATCCTGTGCGGTCCTCTGATCCGGCTCTTACTATAATCACGATGTCTGAAAGAAGAATTCGTGAGGCAGCTGCAGCAAGCAAAGGCACAAGACGAGAACGAGAGAGGCGAAAAGGAAGACGCAAAAGCGTGAGAGGAAGCAAAGGCACGAGAGGAAGCGAGCGACGTAAAAACCAAAAAACGACTTGAAAAGTACTTGCACAACTGCCATTCCACCCTTACCAAAACCTCAAGCTCGCTGACGCGTCGAAGAGCTCTACCGGCCTCGCAACCTCAGTCAACGGTCGATTTTATCCCAGGTGGCTTCGCCCTTGGAAGGCCGATACCGAACGTCAGCACCAGCAGCAATTTGAAGAGATTAGGAGCATCCACGGCGAGGAACGTCTGTTTTATGAACAGAGCATAACAATAAATATTGAAACGAGCTTCATACTAAAAAAAGCTGGCAATGAGAAAGCGGTTGAATATTTGGAGGAATCGGCCGTCGAAGAACCCACCTGGAACATTTTAGAACCTATCTGGAAAAGAAAACAGCTGCACCAGAGGTATTAGTGCGCCGATCTACGATTCACGGACAATGTTCGAAACTTCCGAGACGCGAGCGATGATACGCAAGCGAGAAAGACTGATTTTACGCCAGTCATCACACCCTGAAGCTCAAACCGGAAGGAGGAGGCATCAGGACAGGCCTGGATGGAAAGGAGAGCGCGGCCTTTGTGTACGATTATAGGCTGCGCAAAAGTTCTCCGTAAAGCATCTCGAGGCTGTGCAGGCCAAGGAAACGCTGTTTGTGGATGTTCACGAGTGGGTGCTAAGTGAGCAGTACACAAGGGATCCAGAGCTTTGCAAGCAAGAGTAAGAAAACGCGAGGATTGCCATGGCGCTTATACAAGTTTTTAACTATATCAAAGCAATTACTCATACCCTTTCAACGATGGAGGAACTATCCCACCAAACTGGGACCAAGAATTCGGAAAATACCCACACACACAATTCGTCAATTGCAAAGCGCGTGATGGCACCGCGCTCAGAAAGTACATCGACACCATTCTTGTGTAGAGTGTCCCAGAGGATGAGAGCTACAGAGTCAATCTCGCGAATAGTATATTGGGAACAACCAGCCCCTTCCTTAGAGACGGCGGTGATGGGTTGCGTGTAAGACATAATGCTTATGAGTATATAGATTAGGCACGAATGCCTCGAGTGCGGTCTAATATTTGCTTTTAACAGCAGTACTAGTGAAGATAAGATAAGTCAGCAACACTGCTATATAAAAGCTAATTCATTATAAAGCACGTACACGAAAGACGCCTCCTTGAAAGCAACCCAAGAAGCATGGCTCTCGCCTGCAGCAATTGTCGTTCTGTCGTTCGAGAATAGCGGCCGAGTTTTGTTCAGATGGCATGGCCTGGGCTAAGGCTGAGGCAAGAAGGAGGAGGGCAAAAGTCTTCATGTCTTAATAGGTATAATGGAAAGCAGTGTCTTTAGGTGCGAAGTGGCAGGCTTTGACAGATAGAGAGAAGTCAAAAGTGTAAAGTAGTGTGGCGGTACTATTTGTTTATATAGTTTTTCTTTCTTCTTTTCGGTTGATAGACCTCGTCATACTGCACATAGGCCACGACTACTGTACTGTCAAGCCAACCCCGCCGTATGGTATTTAGAGTCTAAAATATAAGACAATAAGTCAGGCGGGCTGACAACGTTAGTGCACCTGCGACATCTGATGCTAGTAGCCAGCTGAATATGCATGCTTCGGATTTTACTGTAATATTTATACAACCCTTTTTTTTACAGTGTCTAGGCCTGGTTGTATTAACTATACTCGTATATGCCAAGTAATGCTGGTGAGATCTAGCTAGTTGTTAGGGCTAGCCCTTCAGGGTACGCTGTACTAGCCGATTGCTAGTTCCGATCGATCAGTTGGTCGTGTGCCACTGTCGAGACACGCTGAAGATCTTCCACCTTTAGCCCTTAAGTAACACGCCACCACTTAACTAGCAACCTGGCTGCCGATGGAGGGTAAAATATAAGACAACAAGTCAGGCGAGCTAACAACGTCAGCGCACCTGCGACATCTGATGCTAGTAGCCAGCTGAATATGCATGTTTCGGATTTTACTGTAATATTTATACAATACTTTTTTTTTAACAGTGTCTAGGCCTGGTTGTATGAATACTGTACTGGTATATGCCAAGTAATGCTGGTTTGCGCTGAAAGTGAGATCTAGGCTAGTTGTTGGGGCTAGCCCTTCAGGGTACGTTGTACCAGCCGATTGCTAGTTCAGATCGATCAGTTGGTCATTTCATGGATCCAACTGGACGCTGAACCTGAACCTGACTGTACCCAAGAGGCGTGATAGGACTAGCGATAACCTGGTGAAAGCCGTCTTTCGCACGCTCCAGAGGTGTGACCAAACTCAGCCGCCGGTACAGCGCCGACGTCTAGATACTCGTCCGGTGGAAAAATAAGCACTATGAGTATTGCTCTACAGATGAAGCAGCATTCCCGATCCCCTCAATGGATCTGATAGGTGGGTATAAGAATTGGGCCACAACGGGAAACTAAAAAGCTTGTAGGACAAGGTCTATCCCCCTGTACTGAGGAGGACGCCGTGAGATTTTCAGGATGCTAATCTAAAAAATGCAATTTTCTGAAACGATAGTACTGTACAATATGAAGTATACATGAAAAGCATATGTGACTGTCAGTGACAGAGAAGCGTGAAACGTTTTGGGTCGAAATCGAGTGGCTTGTTTGACATGTCTATCACTAGAGCGATCAGTGCTTAGCTGGCGTTGTTTTCTTCTTTGGCTCCAAAGAATGTGTTTTTCGCCTTGTCTTGCATAGTCTATAACGGGAAAGTATACAAATTGGCTCATAGGGGGACAACGCTATACAAAACACGGGCCGGGTTCCCCGCAGCCACAACAAAAGGAGGAACATCCTATCTAGACTGTTAGCATTGGTTCCGACGGGAAGAACAGGACTCCACGAACTTCAGCAACAACTGAGCCAGCCATAACAGTAGCACCCTTTCCAATGATCTTACCGGGCATAACCGTCACACTTCCTCCAATCCAACAATCTGAATCAATGATAACTCCCTTGCTGAATGACATGCTCCGGTAAGCTTGGCGGTGTCTGGGGTCCGTAGACATCTCTTCGGTATAAATGCTTACACTGGGGCCAATGACACTGTTGTCACCTATATGGATACGCCCCGCATCATTGAAGGCACAGTTACGTCTGATTGTAACGTTCATGCCAAGAATAATGTTATATCCATAATCACAATGGAAAGGGGCCTCGACAGCAACTTTTGATGGTAGACTGCGAACGTCTCTATAAGCTGGTAGCTGAGAAGTTGAAGTAAAGTCGCCCACTCGTATTGAATCGAGAAAGTGACGAGTATGTTCTTCGATAGAAACTCCTGTTTTTATAACCGAGTTGAAAAGCCGACAAGACATTGCGGCACGATCACGCTCGAGGCTTAGCTCTCGGTCATACTGGTAATATTCATAACCGGCAAGCATCTTCTCTTTCTCTGTAGACCTCGTTTGCGAAACTGGCATACCATTCAGGCGACTATGTTGTTCCGCAGCCACATGAGAGAGGGCCATTTGCGCTACAACCTGATGATCGGTAGTAACAGAGCGCTTGATGGGGCGGAGCATGTCGCCTTGAAGATTGTTGAATTTGCCGTTCGAAAACTCATCATGGAGAGGTTGAATCGTAGTAGTACGTCTTTCTCGAACGCTCGGCACAGAATATCCTGCACAATGGAAATTGCCTCTTGCACAGTTGTAGCCTACCGCAAGTTAGTGACTAAAGTAGCAAGAGTGATAATAGCACGCACATATTGGCTTTGCCTCGTCACATTTCTTCTTTCGCTTACGGCAGGTGAAACAGCCTGTCTTTGTTCGGGTGGTGAACCTCCGCTGGCGCTTCTTGGCACCAAGCTTCACCTCAGCATGAATGCTTGATGCTAAACAATCTCGATTAGATTGCCTGTTGAAATAGAGGGCTCTCTGTTCCAAGTGCGTCGGTTGCTGTGGAATAAGTAAGTCCTCGATAGAAACCGGACGGCTTCTCAGGGCTGGTTGGCAAGGAGTGGTTGGGGCGATGTACGTGACGTCTGGCTGGTCTTCTTCCTCTTTGTTCTTGTTCTTAGATTCACTGTTAAGGTGAACACCATCCTTAAGAAGGGTTTTATGGAAGTACCCCTCTGGAACATTCATAGTAGAAGGAGAAAGAGATTGGGGCGTTAAAACATGATGACTCGCCTCCGCTGCATCAGATGGCGCAGTTGCACCCGACAGCGTAGAGATTGGTGGTGAAATTTCGACAGGCATGGCAATCGCTGTGAACGCTCGTATTTTCCGAAACACGAATATAATAGCTGCGACAGTTTAGATAGAATATATGCGGCTTTAGTATGGCTCATCAGGCTTATGGCAAGACTAGTTTCCGCCCAGTTAGCCAGCCGCCAGCTTGTCCGTTGCATATGATGAGAGCATTTGATAGGATCGGTCTCAGCCGAAGTGGGGTGCAGACAAAAGGCAGTTGACCGATTGGCTCACCAGCCAACGAATGAGAATTGTCCATCTTTAAACAGTGGAGCTTCGTGTTACTGTGGTGGAAGGATCTCGCCTCGGAGAGTCCCTCGGCCTGTCTAGAGGTGGCCGTGGGTAGTTACGATACTGTTCCAGCAGATCTTAATACTACGATTTGTATATCGACTTCGCTTCTAAGGCCTCAGCTGCAAAGCAAAGTCAGCGAAACTGATGTAAAAAGAGTATGGAAGAAAATATAAGGGGTTAGCTAGCCGCTGGAGTGTGAGCGCTCGGATGATTGGTGCAATGCCCCCTAAAAATAAAATAATAATAAACCACACCCGGCGGCTAAGACGGTCAGGGCTCGTTCAAGGCCTGTCGTACTAGGGATAGCTTGAACACATAACCATATTGCTGAAACGAAAAACGTGTTCCGATGGTTTGTAGAAATTTAAATCGGCATGTAAGCCATGCTCTTCGAATCACATTTACCATGGTTCTGGCAAAGCAAGTCATGGCAAAAACAAGCAATATCGAGCGCACCGAGTGGAGAGCCCGCTGCAGGTTGAAGCTAGCCGAGCATCTAAGTACTAGTTACAACGGGCGAAGTCTGCGACGGGATCAACTAACACTTCACAGGGAGTCAACTGGGAATAAACGTCGAACCAGGTGATGTTAGGCTGCTACCTCAGAATGACGACTCTTATGCTTGGGAGGCACTTGAGGGCAAAGAGAGCCTCTTTGAACCAAAACTGTTCCAAAAACACTTAAGCAAACTTTCTATCGGCCCGCTCATGGAACTTTGCCACGGAGTTGGAAAAACTTTTCGAGCCGTCTCTCGATCACAGAAACGCGATACAAACAGTGGCGGCACAGTCATTATTTCGAATGGGCAACCTACAAATTCGATGAGCGATGTTTTACAGCTAAAAAGAGAGCTAAAGAGATATAAGCGCAAGAAAGTTGGACTGGCACGTCAAAATAAGAGACAGAGAATGTTGATTGCTAAGTTTCGATCTATCGCCCAGGGAATTCTTCAAGCGACATTATGTTCAGATATTGTGGAATAAGAAGCCAAATTTCACGATTTGATAATGATTTCCTATGTTCTTATAGCTAAATATGATAACAGGGAGTGTGTAAACAGGAATTAAGTTCTAGACTCGAAAGATTATTGTTGTGACTTACTCTTAAATTCGCACTCTTAACAATCTCGCTTCTCTGCGCTACCTCCAGCAAAGAAGTTGTCATGGAGGAATGGACTGTTTCGTATCATAAACCTGGCGGTATATTCGCGCGGCTGGGTTTCTTTACTGGCGATATAGAAATCGTGTCGTTGCGATTCCACCCGATGTCTGGAAGGGCAAGCAAGCTGTGCCCTCAGCGAGATCGTGTCAGCGATGAAAAGATGCAGAACCTCGAGCCAACTATCCAAAACATTGTTCAAAGGGTGTTGCAACATCGGCAGGCACACATGACTGCCTTTCAAAATGATTGGGGTCTATTCAGCCTCGACTCTCGCACTTTGGTGCCGGCACCGAAACTGTATGGCAACAGCTTGCACGAATGCCACTTTGTTCTGGTGAAGACGGATGAAAGCATTGACAGAGGTAAGGAATTGAATTTTATCGCGTTCTTAATGACTAGTTTAACATTTCAACTGCTCCCAGAATTTGTCTTCGAGCCAACACTCGGCTCTATGTCCATCTGAGACAGTCGGCTCGACACGCAGGTTTCCGTGTTACTACCGACGTTACCACAGTTGCAACGCGCTAGAAGAGAATTTCAGTACAGTTTTGATAGTCAATAGCGAGTTTATAACACACAGTCCTCTAGTCTCTTTGTCCTGGCAGCCAATATCTGGAGACATCGTCGAAGTTCCATCGTGGCCTGCATGAAATTTTCATGACATCCACAAGAGGCTGGTAAAGCAAGATGGAAAATGGTGGGCCGTGGCCAACGTCTATCAAACATCCCATCTGCATTAGGAGGCGGAGTCAATGGGGTAATGGGGGTTGACGGTAAGGACACGCTTTGGCTCCCCGTCGTTGCTGGGCTCGAGGTGTCAGACATTGCGGCGCTGATATGGCTGGTGGCAATTACTTGTTGCCCCAGAGCGGTGGTCTCTCTCCCTATATACTGGTCAAGAAGACTGGGTAACGTCCCGACCTTGGTGCCACTGCATGCCTCGTCCGTGGTCTTGTGACTCATAAATGGCAACTCATACCATCCCTCCCAAGTCACGGAGCCAATGGGCCCAGGAATTTAAGCGAGATGAATGTCTCCTGTATTTTTCTTGCTCTACTAAACGCACAATCATACCGGTAACCTATTACCAGCCAGGGAACCGATAAACCAATCGGCTCAGTACCTTTATCATCACTCTATTGTCAAACAGACTGGCTATGTACCCCGATATTCGGCGAGATGTTGGACCAATCGGCGTTTTGCCTTCAAATCGGTATGCTCCGAACCAATCGGCTGCACACCTCCAGCATCAATATAGCCGCAGCCCAGTTGACTGTGCGTCTTTAGAATCCGCAGTTTCTTTGACCAATCGGCTATGTACCATTGCAATCGGCAGGGTACCAGACAAATTGGTCGCGGAATTACATCCGATTGAATCACGCTGAGTTAGTTCTCAGTGTGCCTCAATCATCTCACTATTCGGGCAGTTGAGACTTGTCGGCGCCATGCCATATTGGAATTCTGATCCAAGCGCCCATGTCTGGAAACACTGGTACGGAGAATGGGCGCACCAGTCAAGCTATGCTATAGAGTCAATTTTGTGTATTGAGCTTCGTTTAACTTCTCTGAACTATCTAATTGCATCAGTTTCTCAAGGCAGCTTCCATTTGGGGCGACAGCGCTACAATATCAGATCCAATCTTTGCACCAAAATTCAACAATAATTTGGCTATTCCAATGAAATTACGCGCAACTGCGAAGTATAGAGCTGTCCGCCCAAATTCTCCGCGCAGATTCGGATCAGCCCCGCACTCGAGAAGAAGTTGGAGCTGCGGGAGATTATTGGCCTGGGCCGCAACGATCAAAGGTGTACTGAGAGCGAAGTTTCGCCGGTCTATAAGCACATCAAGGCTTTCTGACGATGAATTGTTCGACAAAAGATTTTGTAGAAGTTTATGCCCCAATGGATCTTGCGCCAGTGCTCCGTCTCCAGAGAGAATGTGGATGACTGTATTTCCGCGACGTCCAGGAATGAAAGGGCTGATTCCAATGTTCAGAAATTCTATGATCGTTTCCGCCTTATCATAGGCAAAGCACTTTGGAGGCGTATGTAAAAGCATGTGTAGCACTCGATCGCCCTCTTGGCCAGGTAATTCGGGGTTCATGTCGATATTCGGAGCGCTGGCGAGGGCGGTTATCATGCTTGGCCCTTTCAGACAAGCTTCATATATCATCCATGAGTCCGCAGGAATAATATGGAAGGCATTTTGTCGTACTTGGATTCGAACAAGGGCGGCATCGTCGTTCAGGATAGCATATAGGATCTGCGAACAATGGGAAGACATGGAACAAAGTGCAAGATGCTGCGTGAGGCAAAAGGCATATTCATGTTATGGAGCATAGATACAAATTTGAGAAGGCGGAGATAGTTATCTTACGCTGCTAGAAAGGGAGAGATATAGCCTGCACGTTGCTCAGAGGTCGGCTCGAGCCGATCCAATCGGCTCAACACCTCCCATACAATGCTTTGGGAAGAAGTTAGACAAGAGCAAGCGCTTTTCTAGGTCGCGACGTTTAGGGCCGCTTGAGGCCAGAAGCCCCAATCGGCGGACTGCCATCGCCTTGCGTTGGGGTGTTTTGGCAGGGTTGCATAGAGGGCGCAACTCCTCCGTTCGGGTGTAGCATATGCTATCGGGAGAATACCACCTCATATGGTCTAGAACTAAATCAGCTCAGTTGTGGCTTTTTCTTTTCGTTTATTGCACCGCGCTTTTTTAAGACCGAGAGTTCACCGATTGGTTACCGACTAGCTGGGACGACCAATAGCAAACGAGAGCAGCCTTAACAACGTTACAGTTGATCATCCTTCGTTTATTGAGCGTGATGAATTGCTTTCCGAGAATTGTTACTTCATTCAGACGTGTTGTAGTACATGTGAGAAAAAAATGACTTGTCATTTCCATGGTAGAGGTGGCTGCTGTCTACAGGTGTCGCCGGCCTGGCCACTATCATACGAACACCCAAACTATGCCCCCTCTATGTCTGCTCGAGCCTCCTTCAGTTTTTTACGGTTCTCTGAAACCGCCAGAACCACAAATCCCATTATGTCTTTGAGCGTTTTCTGACATTCCTCCGCCGCTGACTGCCAGCCGTTGTTGTGGCCCACTGCTCTCCTTAAACAGCGATTCTCTGTTCGTATATCATCGATCTGCTTGAGTAGTAGCGCATTCTTCGCTTCTAGGTCTTGTAGTTGCGCACGTAGGGCAATGCACTCTGTCGTGGACTCGAAGGCGTCGCCATCGTCGAAGAGACCATAGGCCGGTCGGGGGGGACGTTCTGGTGGGATATCTTGACGAGCCTGTTGCGAGATTTCTAGGGTCGGTGAATGTTGGCTGTATATCGAAGATGATTGGCTTTTTGGCTTGCGGCCACGTACGTAGGCCAGGAGCCCTGGTATCGCAGGCAGTGGCTTGTCGGTTGACATTATTGTTGATAGCTCAGGTACGATAGGAATTAGTTGAAGACGATGCAGAACGGAATGGAATATGTTGAAGCATGTGTATGAGAGAAACGTGAAATATATAGTACTAGTACAAACAGAACCCAAGAACAAGATTACCAGTGCAAGCTGCGTCGCCCTGGCGGCTAACACTGTCTGTTCCAACCGTAGTATGGTGGAGGGTTGACCTCCATGACGTCTTCCTCCCCGTTGCTACTGTCGTCTTCAGTAAGACTTGTGGTATCTGAGCGATCACTGAAGTCGCCGCTGGATTCGACGCTCGAAATGTTGTCTGTAAGGCGCATATTCACATTGTGCTCTTCTTGTTTTGCCATGCGCTCTTCTTGTTTTGCGATGCGGTGTTCCTGCAGGGCCATGCGCTCTTCCTGCTTCAGCAGCCTTTCTGCTTGTGCTGCTAACTGCTGCTGCAGCTGCGCAATTTTTTCCATCAACTTTGCTTCTACAGCCGCAAGGCTGTTGAGAGTTTTTAGTGAGCATACCGGAGCACCTAGGATACTAACTTACGCAGCATTGCAATTTTGATGGTTGGGCTCAGGGAACATCGAGTTCATGAAACCATCGTCGTTCAAGAAAAATGCGTAGTCGTTAGATGCCATAGTGCTTGACCAATGGGTAGATCAATGATGCAGTAGGTTTGTGGAGAGACAATGAAGTCTGTACCGGCAATCGACACCTTAAATAGAAAATAAGGCCTACCGTGACATCGTCCGCAGGCGCTTAAGTGCAGATGCTAGAAATCAGTTCCTGAGGGCAACTTTCGGATACCAAAGAACCATACCCTGGAAACATAATCACACTTTCACACCTCTCAGTTTGAGAAGCAGTAATATCAAGCTGTAAAACGATAAGTAGATAGTTTCGTAAAAAGTACTTATACGGCTTACTGAGTCTGATTCTATTCTCAGTCTTTTCCTCTACACCAAAAAAAATCATGTTTCAGACCACCTTAGCTACTATCGTTATGGCCTTCGCCACCGTTGCAGCCTCCCAGGCAACGCCCGCGATCTGCCTCTGGGACCCAGTGCTAAATGTGGCGGCAGGCTCCGAACTGACGGCGAAAGTAACTGCTACCTCTACTCGGCGTTGTCTGGCGGAGCTCGCCTTCAGCGACACCACGTACTTGCCAATCACTTGGTCGTTTAGCTCCTTAGGTTGTGCGGGTGTGGAGACAGCAACCATCACGGTCCCAAAAGGAGTTCCCAACGGGGACGCATTTATTACATGGTAGGGAGGAAAGAGAAAACAAACAATGCTCGAGCCTAGCTGACGGGGCATGACAGGGATTGCGCAGGAGATACCGCAGCAACCTGCGTTCATGTGTCCTTGGCCAACGGAACAGCGAATCTTGAAAGCACCCCCGTCCAACAGACTGGTGTTATCCAATGCTCTTATCCCAGCCCTACAACACTTCTGACGCAGACATCATCCTCGGCAACGGGCACTTCAACGGGCACTTCAACGGGCACTTCAACGGGCACTTCAACGGGCACTCCAACGGGCACTTCAACGGGCACGTCAACGGGCCAGAGTGCTCCAATTGGCAACTCTGTAGCAGTATCAACAGGCACGGCTAGCTCAGCTCCGTTCAACGGTAGCGCTGGTCCAACGGCTTCCGTCGGTACGTCCAGCGCTGTTCTAATCGAAGCCAGCGGGCGCTCCTTGAGTCCAACAAGCAAGTTGAGCACGCAAAGCCCCCAATCCACACCAATCTCCAGCACGGTCAGTACACCCTCTCCGGAGCCCCCGGGCCGAAGCCCCAGACCGAGACACTTTAGAGCCAACGAACGACTGAGTTACAGACAGGGGTCGCCGCCACAGCGATAGTCTCGAGCAGCGCGAGTACGGAGGTTGATACAGGCAGAAGCTCCGTCAGTCTAGCCTCGATCCTGCCGCCAGCCACTCTTGGTGAGCCAATGGCATCCAGCAGCCATGGGCCTGTCACTGTAACCGTGACTGCCTGCGCGACGCCACCAACACGCCAGGGTACAACGGGCGCATCGCCGTGAGCGGTTTATAATTAGACTGTTCTCGCACTTCGCCGAGCCGGCCTCGGACTTTTTCATTTTTCGGTCACAGTTCACATTTCTGCTATATTAATCGTCGTTTTTAAACCTTCAATCCTGCCTATCTTAACATGTCTGCTGGGAGAGAGCCTTGGCCCACAAAGCCCTATAACGGGAAAGGCGCAGTCCCTGCCGATGGTGCCAACCAAGGAACGCCGACAAGCGATGACAGGTGCCCGTCAGCCGCCTTCGAGCCCCAAAGCACTGTCGGCCCGTCATTGAACGCTCGGGCAAAGGCGCCTACTACAAACGCGCCGACCACAGCGCCTCCAAGTACGACCCCGCCGAGTACAAATGCACCCAGTGCATCTGAGCATCGATTTCCTTTTAATTCGTTTCAGATTGGAACTGCAACCATTTCCTATCCATCGCCAGACCCAGTGACGGAACGTCGCCTAGATGCTATAGAGGCATCCGTCACTGATTTGAAAGCGGAATTCCGTCGAGCCTTGCGAAACAACAAGCGACAGTCAAAGAAGAAAAAGACCTCGAAGGACGCATAATCTTGGTCATTTGCTTTATTTTGTTTTTGATGTAGCTAGTCTCAATTCATTTCCCCCATATATGACAATCTCAAGATCGTTAGCTTACCCATCGACCTGCGTTCAGGTGATTGCTGACTTGTTAACCAAGGACTGACTGTTGCGAATAGACAGGTCCTTCTGCTGGCCACTAGCATTTACGTAAGACGGCAATATCAATTATTATTTGATATTGACTAATTTAGTTGGAAAATATATATATAATTAATGAAAACGTGTGACTATATTTCTGTCTACTAATCATCAGCTGAAAAGCGGTCGTCTGTAACAGCTCTGACGTGCATACTGTTAGGTCACTTAAGGAGGCACTTTATACCCAATTCTTACGTACTATCAAGTGGTGAGCGCTGCGGCCGTTCATAGCTATCACGGCTCAGCGTATTTAGATACAAGGTGTATGTGTAGAGGTGCCAGCATTGTAGCGTCTTTTGTTCTTTGCCTTGCTCTCACCATCGCAGTAGTTGCGATTTCACGGTATGTCAGCTCACCCAATTACGACTGTCTCTAGACGCCGAGAGTAAGCTAGAAACGCAGGGCGCCGATCTTCTAAGTGCTGTGACAGCTCGGTTGAAGGTTATGACAAGTGTATAGTGAAGGAGCTTCGGCATCGAGCAAGCCCATCAACCATGCTGGCTAGAAAATGGTACAAAAATCATTCTGACACAGGCAAACAATCGCCATTGAATCTGAATTGCCGTATATTTCTTATCCCTTTGCACAGTGACTGCCACGCTGCTGGAGTATAGGAGTGACAAGTTGTGCCCACTGCCAAGGTTGGTCCACGCCTCCCGGGCTGCTACTGTAGTACTCCCAGCCCATTATGCCGCCAATTTCTTTATACCTTGCACGGAGATTATCAATTGTATACGTAAGTTCTGACAGCGGGATGAAGCCGTAGCCTTTGTCTGGCGATGTCAGTTGCCCAATCACGATCTTTTGTGGCTTCCAGCCAGCCGCGATCAAGTTTCGGTAATCGTCGGGGGTAGACATTGTCCCGAACCCGCTGTAAAACTGCGTGTTGTAAAACGCAATATCAGTGCCAACAGTAGCCTCTAGAGCTGAATAACTGAAGCCACTGAGATTCCCGTGATCCAGGAGGGCTGAAGCGACTGGGGCTAGAGTTATGATGAAGTCACTCCCGAAATCGCTTCGCAACCGTCGAATGAGCCGAGTGGCCCCGTCTAGCGACATGGACTCTTCAACATCAAGGTCTAAGCCCTCCAGTTGATACTCCTGGACCACTTTGTAAAGCTGCTGATAATATTTCTCAAACACAGAGTCATCGCCGTCCAGCGTGGCTGTGGTAAAGGAGCCAGGGGCGGCGCCTCCAACCATCCCCATCACCTTGACACCAGCGGCCTTGATCAACTCGACCTCCGACCAAAGGGTTGCGAATGTTGGATCGTTTGGATCGTGGTCGTTCAGATGAATTTCGGAGTCCTCGTTTATATGGAAAGCAGCGATGATAAGATGCGTCGCTGTGATGCCAGGCTCTTCAATCAGCGGTAGAATGGAAATTGGGCTTCCGTCAACTTGGTGGGTGGTTTGGACGTATATGACTAGACGGGGTTCGGGTAAAGTGGAACATTCCGACAGAGGAGCCTCGACGAGGGCCAGAACGATGAGAAATGCGATGAATGCCGTCATAGGCAAGCTAGGAGGTCGAAGGGCCATAGTGCTTTGCAGGTTTTGCTTATGAGGGCGATGATAATTTACATTAGAAGTGACAAACACGCTATAAATATACCGCTCTCGCACGAACCGTAAATGAAAATACCATTATCCGTTTATCAGAATCCAAATCATGTCTTTGCTTTGTGGGCACACGTATCAAGCTGAATCCATAGGCGTCCGTTGGCGTATCCGGCTTCAGCTGTCAAGCTGGTAGGCAAACGCCCCGTAGGGTATAGCAGGTCGATGCCAAGAAGTCCAGCACTAACGTTAGTCCAATGGGAAACAATACCACTGAGGCCCACGCAGACGACTCATCGATAGCGGCGGATGGAAGATCGCCGATTGGCTAAGCCGATACTTGATGAGCATCTCACGTGTTAGGCATGAGCGCTGTCGGATCATAATCGCAAGATGGCGTTGTCCGAATATGCCCTGGTCACAACCCGCTCTACTTCATTCGAATTCAAGAGCTCTGGAGCTCTGGCTTGAGTATTGAATACCATTTCACAAAATACTCTAATTTCACTTCGGAAAGATCATGATATCTTCTCCGCGTCAGCGAAGAAATCGTTGCTTCACGGGATACTTACTCCTCAGGCGTGATAGGTCTTGCAAGCTCTGGAAAATGTGAGAGTCCGGTTGAAAAGTTGGCAGTCAGCTCAACACAGACAGCTGTAGGAAATGTTCCGAGGCATTGGCGGCCCAGTTTGGCGCAAAGTTTGGTCAAGCAATCACCCCATTTGATGCAACGCTCGAGATCTGACTTAGACATGTGTGGCGGGTTTCCCAGCATTAACTCGAGGGCGAGCGTTTTTGGCTCTTTGCCTCTCCCCTTCCCTGATCTGACACCTTGGTTTGCTAGCCGTCGTTGCCTGTCCATTTGAATGCGCTTTCCGTCCTTGATGCGGCTGACTTCCCTGACATATATTGACGCGAGTTTCATGTAGTCATGTCGTAAAGAGAGGTAACATCCTGAGATACGACGGCGAGAGTGGACGATCCGAGCTATCACTTTCTGAGTCTCTGATGGACGCTGCTCAACAACAGGGTTTTCGAAATTCGGGGAGGATTGCATAATCAACTGCAGGATTCTCGCCTTCTGTTGTTGTTGTATGGCAACCACATCTTCTAGCGCTTGTTGATACACCCTATCTATGCCGGTGTATAAGCATGGGTGTTTATCAGAACAGGGCAGGTGGCCTGGGGTATCTTGAACGCGAGTTGATGCGCTGTCTGAAAGTACGGGCTGCCGCCTCGGTCGAGGAGCACGGTTGTGCTCCGAAATTACCTGGCAAGGACCACCCGATGCGCTCTCGCGCGCTGCAGGGACAGGCACCGTAAGAAAACTCGCATCAATCCAAGGGCCAGGGCAACCACGACTGCAGAATGTGTACTTCTCCGTATTCCAGTCTTTGGCGGCATAATTAATGGCCTCAGCAGCGGAAGATCCAACACTGAACCCTTCGTGGTATGTATCTTCAAACGTTATCACCGCCTCACCCGCTCGTTGATCGACGATGCTGAAGTCAACGTCCCATGCCTTGAGCTTATACAACGGTACGAAAACACTGAGATGTCGCACAAACTGAGAGCAGCAGCGGGCGTCCGGGTTATCCTCCCGTAAGCGTTGCTCGAGCCGTTCTCGAGATCGTGGTGGGATGACGATCCAAATCTTTCGACCCTTATAGAGTATGTTGACTGAGCAGAGTTTGGCATCCTCGACATGCATCGCAAACACGGCTCCGGGAGCAGGTCCTGACTGATAAAAATATGGTGTGTGAATGCCATCGATGGCATGTGCAGTCTCCTCTAGCATGTTTCCTCGTAGCGGCCAAAGCAAACTCTCATCAGCCAGCCCTATAGCTTTGCGTTGGGTCGCCGTTTTGACCTGTACATCGGTTCTGTAGAACACGCCAGACAATCCATCGTCATTATTCAGCCGGCTCATTTGCTCTTCCATGATCGAACCGACGTCAGCCATGGGCCCTTCCGACCACAGCAGCTTTTGTCGAGTCTCTTTCATGACGATTTTGTAAACTCCACTCGCTTGCTGCTCCGTGCCATATCCAATGCAGCGGACAGCATCCCTCTGGCGTTCACGCCACAGTCCAGATACATCCAGTGTTGCCTTGCATGCGCCAATATTCTTTGCACCAAGGGCACATGCGCGTTTGAGAACACGAGGAAAGTCTTTCCATTCTGCCACGGAGCAAGGTATTACCGGGATTGTGGTGCATGGGCTATAAACTTGATCCTTCTCGTTGACAGGCGCGCGAGGCGGAGAGCAAGCTCTTGAAGGCCTGACGCCCTCAATAGCCGACGTTTGAGACAGCCTCAAGGGAGCAGGGGATACTGAGGGCGTCAGTTGTGCGTCTATGGCGGCTTCCGAGATTACGGCGGTCTCCACGGTTTGCCCACCAGTTGCGTGGCATGTTTGGCTATCGCCAAGATTGGTAAAAAGGTGCGAGATCTGCCGCAGCTTCTGCTCGATGTCACGGAGAGTTTCGGACTCGCTATGAGAGAGCGGGCGGGATTCGAAGCTGTCAAAAGAATCCCGAAGCTGTTTCAGCATGGCTCGGATATTTAACAGCGCCATGATGACGATGCCATAGCTGCACCTTGTCGAAAAACAAAAGCTGATAGAACTTGCAGTGGCAGCTTGTGGGGCCAGCGATCGTTGTATTGGTGGATGTCGATGCCGCGAATTCATGCTCAAGGTACCGGCTGCTCCGTGATGTTGGCTTGACACAGAGACAGTGCGCAAGTAGATTGAAGCTGGCCAATCATGTGGATGGAGCTGGATTAAATTCTGCACAGCAGCTATTTTACTCCAGTTCACAACTAATTATTGGTCAGACGCAGATCCACACAGTAATTCCGTTGAGCGACGCACGGAGCAATATCCAGGCTACCCTGCACGCTCGAAACTATTGTGCTGTTTATTCGCTGGCCTTGCGAATGCAGCACATGTTGCTCTCCGCTGACAGCAGCCGCTTCAGCAAGACTGAAAAGTCGTGTAGAAGACATTCCTGTCTGCTTGGCGCGCAGCTGCTACTATAGAAGGAGACTTTGGGTCACGAAGTAATGGAGATATTTAGTGTGCTTCACGCGCGCTTCTCACAATGGTGGCATGCTGATCCGCCAAGTATAACTCGCACATCTTTAAACCGTCACCGGTACTACTACTATTACTACTACTATTACTACTATTACTAACTACTATTTACTACTATTACTACTATTACTACTATTACTACTATTACTACTATTACTACTATTACTACTATTACTACTATTACTACTATTACCACCACTCTACTTCTGCTCTTACACTGTATGTCAATTTGTTTTTGTTAGAAAGATATCAACGGAGAGGCAGCTTTTCTCTAGGTCAGGCAACTGTTGCTGTCCTAGTTGGTCGTCGTTAAGGCAATTGCTATCGCGAGGGTTCGAAGGACTCTCCTACAGAAGAGGCACTGTAAGATTTATGCGTCTCGGGCCAAAAAATACTGTAACTGTAATTTCTGAAATACTAGCCAGCTAAACGACTTGATATCTTCCTTCAAACTGTGCCTTTCAGTCGCCATCAGCTTTCGTTCCCTTGTTGAACTTATGATAAAAGCGATTATTTCCCGTCCTTTGCCTTTGGTTTCTGCGAGACTGCACCGCCATGGGGCTCCGCGGCGTGGGCAGATTTCTCCCATGGCCTTTTTGGAGGCGTTGGAGTTATCGGAGTTTGGGGAGTAGGCTCGTGCTGTATTTTCCGAACCGGGTCAGCCACGTACGGGACACAGAAATAACGCGTACCAGTTTACGATCCATTTCTCTGATTCTAAGCTCGAAATAGCCCCAAAGCTGCTGCAGTCGGGCTACATTCTCGTTGACAGCGTATGAAAGACAGTCCAGCTCGGAGCGGACATGTCGGAGAGTTGCCTGCATCGATAGGACTTCCTCTGTGGAGAAATGGAGTGCCATGTTTGTCATGTAGCAACGTGGTTCTGGCCTTCTTCATTTTTTTCGAAATGGGTTGATCTGGTGCTTTACTTATACTTCTGAGATTCTATTCAGTACTAAGCAAAAACAGTGGCGAAAGGTCGTTCAGAAACGTATCACAGTGTTGCTTCATTCGGTGTAGTGATGAGGCAAAGACACAGCATTCTCTAAAAATAGGCATCTTAGAGATATTAAGACACGAAATCTTCTAATAATAGGTATGAAACTATCACTTGCTTTTCTATGAAGCGAAGATGGAGTCAAATGGTCTGCCTAAAAATAAATGCTTGTGCAAAGTTATGATGCTCATAGTCTGTTTATTGCTTTGGACGGCATCGTACGCGGTGGCCCAGCCAATACTTTGAATGAGCTGACACATTTTTACGCTTCGTCGTCTCCACGGAAAAAAGAGCAGAATTTAAAAATAGATTTAAACTATCTAAAAATAGGAGACTAGAAAGCAGACGCCATCGATTACCTGCCGGCCAAGGCAAAGGTAGCTATGCCCAGTGGCTGATCAGTCATCCCCCGTGTCTCGATCCGTGCTTAAGCTAGTCCGATAAAAGTCATCCTCTTCCGACAGATCAGCCCCATTGTCGCTTTTCTCTGAGGGTGGTGGAGAGCGGGGCGGGCTGTCTTGAACCTGGTCTGGTCAGTTCATTGTGAGGTACATCACTCTTACATTGACACTTACCGCACTCCCCATTGTCATTGGTACATAATCGGTCTGTTGATTGGGAATCACGTTGCTTGTCATGAGTGTCATGGCCAGCTCAAACTGCAGGGAGCAGACTGCGTTCGACATGTCCCTAAGCAAATGCTCGTTCATCTCCGAAGACTGTGAGAGACCATTCAAGGTCTGAAGGCAACCTCGAAGAATAGTCATCAGATTATGAAGCATATGGATCTCTGTCGCTGACATTTTTAATGCAGCCCACCGTGCTGGCGAATGTGCAAGTGGTCTGGAGACTGAACGGATGCAAGAAGGATTTACCGACCAGGCAGTCGCTCTGAGCGAGAAGATAGTTGAGCCAAGGTCTCTCTACCTCAAATGGGTAGCATGCCCTTAAATGTGAAAGATAAAGGGCGTTAGACTAAAGCATGCCACGGGCACAAGCCTTGTCAAGTTGAGGCACGCTACCGACTGGCCCGGCTAAAGCCGAAGATGAAATGGCGAAGTTCCGATTGGTCCAGTACTAGGTACTTCTGTTTTCTATTGCCTACATAATCCTCCAACCATAAGCTGTGTCATATTTTTTTTTTTCTCAATTTCCTCCTTATGGCGTACGCTAGTAGCGTGTTCATGGACTTGGTTCCTTCAATTCCCTTTCTGCAGCAGAGGCTAGTTCGTGTTTAAGCATACATCGCAATGCCTACCCACTAAGTATTGTTTTTATAAGGAAGCTGATATAGATTATTGAAGCACTAGTAGAGACTCTACAAATAGATTCGATGCCTATACGCTAGTCTGCGCTGAGCAACAGATTGCAGTACAAACTAAACAACTGCAGTCATCGCTCCTCTCCATCTAGTCATCTCCGTTCTGTCTCCCATCTTTCATAACACAAAAATAAAACAAAGCGAGTACCAGCCCGCTAGACAAAACATGCGTGGGACAATTCGTAGTTACCACCATGGGGACGTAGAGGGACCGCGCCTGGATGTTGGGTTGTTGGCAGTACGTGGGTTTGGTTGCTCCGACGCCTGACGCGATCCGTTTGGCCAAGGCCGTTCATACTCCATTTGACGTGGTGGTGTTGGTAGGTGCGAGCTCCCACGATATCCCCGGTTGCCCGCTTCGTAGGGTGGCGGCCCTCCAGGTACCATCTGGACCTGGGACACAGGAGGTTGTGGGTAGCCCTGAGAATACGGGGGCAACCAAGGTAACCATGGTACAACGCCATGTACAGGTTGTTCAGGGTTCGTTGGATTCTGTGGGTAAGCGAATGTGTACGGCCATTGTGCCAGGGGTGCCTGCCCAGGAGCTGAAGGAACCTGGCTGGTGGATGTTGGCTGCTGGAGCTGCCAGGGTTGCCAAGCCAATCCAGGTCCTTGGGGGGCCGCTCCATTCAAATGGCCTGGAGGATTGTACCAAGCTGGAGGGGCCTCGTCTCCAGCTGGATGGCCTTCATAGATTGGGCGGAGAGACGATGGCGCACCTTGGCTTAATAGATTAGGCGTGGCTGTATTAGCTTGGGGCTCTCCAACAGGAGTTTGGCGCCCCGCTCTTCTGCCCCCGGGTCCCTGTGTCCAATGAACCTGACGTTGTGGTGGCGGTATGGGTGCCTGTGTCGGTGTCGGGCTTGGCGATAGAGGCCCCGTGGGGGAAGGCTCGCCTCCCGGACGGTCCCGTGCCAAATTCCAAGTTGGCACCTGTGTTTTGAGGAATGCATTGAGAGCAGCCGCACCTACACATTCTTTGACTTCTGATTTGGTGAACCAGGTTTCGTCAAGGTCATCATCATACCATATAAGGAAGGTATCTCCTTTCCTCTGCAGCCCTTTGGCTAGTGAAAAACATAGCTGATGAGGGGGGTTTCGCGCAAGATCCCGTCCAACTATGTGCGCACGGTTTCCGTAATTGACCTCTGGAACCTGCCTTCCTGTCTTTTGATGGTACATTTGGCTCACATACGTATAGGGCCCAGGCGGGAAGAGCATGAATCTGCTGCCTTGATTGCTAGGAACCTCGAAGGCTAGCGAGTTCTTGCGTACCTTGCCTTTGAGTAGACACCATTTCATTTTCCCATCAATCGTGTCAGCAACCTCGTACCAAAGCTCTGGGAATCTTTGTCTTGAAGGCATGGTGTTTGGGTAGGAGGAGAAGCAAGGGGGCCGGATAACATATCCTGCTTCATCAACGCGGTTTGCTTCCCAATCGCCTGGATCGAATGTGCTGCCGTCATCTTCCTGATTCTGGTCTGTACCGTCGTCCTCTCTTCTTGGCGTTGTTGGTGGTGTGTAGTGGCCTTGCGCCGCTGCAGCGCCTGACCGGCTCGGAGATGGGTCGCGGTGAGGTCTGGTACCAGCGCTGCTCAGCGAAGATCCCGTGCGCCTATGGCTATTTTCCGCAGTTGGGGAATCAGCATAAAAATAACGAAGAAGGTCGTCGAGACTTCTTGGCGACGTCGGCTCCGAGCCCGCGTTGGTCACTGTTGGCGCTCTATAGCCGAAGAATGCAGCCGTAGAAGCAGTAGTCTGTGTAGCTGTAGCAGGCCGTGCTGGAGCTGGCCGCGGTGTGTGAGGTTGTGCTGCAGCAGGCTGAGATGCAGTGGGTTGAGACGCAGCAGGCTGAGATGCAGTGGGTTGAGACGCAGCGGGTTGAGCTGCAGCAGGCTCGTTTGCAGTAGGTTGGGGTGTAGCAGGCTGAGGCGCAACAGGCTGGGCTGCAGTAGGCTGAGGTGCAGCAGGTGAAGATTGAGCAGGCGAAGATGCAGCAGGCTTATTTGCAGTAGGTTGGGGTGTACCCGGCTGAGGTGCAGCAGGCTGGGCTGCAGTAGGCTGAGGTGCAGGCGAAGATTCAGCAGGCGAAGATTCAGCAGGCAAAGATTCAGCAGGCGAAGATGCAGCAGGCGAAGATTCAGCAGGCTTATTTGCAGTAGGTTGGGGTGTAGCAGGCTGAGGTGCAGCAGGATGGGCTGCAGTAGGCTGAGAAGGAGTAGCTGGGGCCGAAGTAGCTTGTGATGTAGCTGGTCGCACCAGCTGAGGGGTAGCTGGCTGAGAGGTAATAGACTGTGCTGATATTTCACCGTGGTCGTCTTTTGAGCCGCCAAGAAAGTAAGTGGTCGCCTTTTCTAGTATCGATTTCTGTTGTTTGGCGCCATTTGAGGAGGATGCCTCTGTGGCGTCCGTGCCGGCTTCCTTCGATGTATTCTCCGCCACCCTCAGAGCAGCTTCTTCCGCCCACTTTTTTAACCATGGATCAAACTTGGCAGGTAAGGAAAAAAGCTGGAGGAGTCGCGGCTCGTCTTTTGCTGGTTCTGGAACATCACCAAGGCTCTCCAGGAGTTGTTGGTGTTCAGGGGTCACTTGCTCATGGCCAGCGCCCTTCTCATTAACAAGATTACGCAGTTGCCTCACCTGCCTCTGGAATGACAGATCCTTCGCCATGCTGCTCTGCAGGTGATGATTTCTTCGTTTACATTTAGTGTCGGAGAATCTCTTAAATACTGGTACCAGGAGATTTTAAAGCGAAAACTAGATTCTTAGTTGTGGAATTTTGTAAACCAGATAACACTCTAAAATTACGACTTTGGGCATTGCGGAAACTGTCTGAACGGGAAAAGTAATGTAAGTTATATCTCAGCGGCTCATCATATAAACTCTTCATTTCCGATATCTTTTCAATTATCTACCCTACTCCATTCGTTGATAACATGTCGTCGCCACCGCAGCCCGAAGTTGGCCCCGCCGATGACTTTATGGTGGAGCAAGGTGCTGAATTCGCTATCTACCACGACACGGCAAACGAACCACCACACGCTGCAGACCACGAGGATAGCTCCGAGAGTCCTAATGTACTGCATGAACTCCCAGTACCTCCGCCGCCGTACGAACAAGTCTCTGAACCCTTGGGAGACACAGAGGCTATGGAAATTTACGATATGGCGCAACAATACCAAAGAATTACATACCTGCTACGCGAATCTTTAGCTGGAAGGTCGCCCACATTCACAGAGGCTGAAATCAACCTCGCTCGTGGCTACATGTGTAGCACGACACGAGACAATCTGGCAGCTGTTCAGGTTGACGGAGAATACTTTTTCGCTCAGTACAATCAGGCCTTGGAATTCTTCCGTACGGCAGTCAATGGCGCCCAAGCTTACTGGGAGCATGTGCTTTCAGATGATGAGTATAGATCTCATACCACTGCATCGCCAGTCATAGAATTTTTGCTGGTCACTCACGTTTTGTTCCCGAGGTTGCAAGGGCTTATCAACTTTATGTACAGTCTTGAAGGCGAACAGGCTTAGCCTAGACTTTTCTTTAGCTCTACTTCAATGATTCTCTTTATAACTTGCTTTACCATCCGTGTTGTTGCAGTCAGCTATGCTCGTGCTCTTAACAAAAGCAAGACCTACAGAAGCATAGATCGACAAGTCGCGCCGTTGAACATGGAAAACAAGAAGAAAACGCTGAAAGCAAAAACGATAAATCAAGCAGATTCTGTTTTCCGGAAAACAGTTTATAAACCTCGTAAGCAGTCTTCTGCCGACAGCCGACGATGTATGTGTGGAGTCGCGCAAGTCTCGTGGCCGCTATCACCGACTAGCTAGTGGTTGCCGTGCCGGTAAGTAAACTTAAACCCAAAAATCGTGTCCGGATTTCCGGGAAAAAAAAGGCAGGTGTTGTGGTTTTTGGGGGGGATATATAAGCCCAAGCTAGCTTTTCCTCCGAGCGCTGATTGAGCTGATAAGCTGTCCTAGTATTGGAAACGGATTCAGGCGATCGGAGCTTTCAACGCACCATCTAGCGTTCTTTGAAGCAGCAGAATGAACATTGACGATCCGAGCCAACTTCGACAACAGCGCGCCAGTGAGCCAGTTTTCGACCACATTAGAGCAGGCATCCTCGCAGCGCAGCACCAGTCTGACCATCGTTGTACACCGGCACCACATGACCGAGACGAACAACCTCTCATGGCCCAATTTCGAGAGGCAGCTGCTTTTAATGTCTCGCATCCGGGGAACAGCCAGTATGGGCCGCACGATTTGAGTGCAACCCAGAGCATTTTGACCGCCACTCGACGGGACAACCTAGCGCGAATGGATCAATTCGCGAGCGAGCATTACAGGCAGGGGCAAATCCAGAGCCTTATTACATTTTGTGACGGGCTTTCTACCAGTCTCAAAAGCTTGCATCGCCATGCCGAACAAAGACAGCCCCATCAACAGCAGGTTGCAAAGGTAGACGAGCTTATAGAGCTTCAGCTCTTTATTGCACTCATCTACCCTAAGCTTCTCTCACTGCAGGAATGGATGGACGTCCCTAGATTTCCTACCCCGCATGATTAGGCAGAGTGGACTAGCCGCAAGATAGAACTATGCTATCAATCACTAGAATACTTACCAAGTTACGTCGTCGTTGCGCCTTTCTGTGTACCAGTTATGCCCGATGTGGAGCGAGTGACCGTATGCTACTTTTGGAACCCCGCGAGAGGACGGATACGCACAAACAATGAAGGGCTCTCTCGTCATTAGACTAATACAGTGAAGTTTGATAGGGCTAGAGCCATTGATAATGAGGCCCTACACTGAAAACCATGCCAGAGCAACTCCTTTGCAGCATCAGATGCTTACCTACCTCTGCTACCTTGTCATGTCTGCTTGGTCTGCGTAGAGACCTCAGCTAACTTAAATGCTTTGCAGAAAATCCTAAAAAGTTGTTAGGCTCTTAAAAGTGAGGAATCCAAATAATCTACATGTCCGGCGTAGGGCTTTTCCCTGTTGGAAGCACAAGGCTTTTGGTGATGTGAGTCCACACGAAGGGCTGGTTGGTTGTAGGCGCATTGGCTGCTGTGGTCAGTGGGGTCAGGATAAAATGGGTCTGGCCAGAAGTCCTCCAAGGCAGCTTCCGCCTGCCACAGTTCACCTCTTACGGCAAATTGTATACTCGTTGGGATGGGAGAACGCATTGGCTGAATAGTATACCTAGTTCGGGTTCAGCGAACACGACTGATTTGCATCACGTTTTTTTACGCTCCCTATAGCTACCTTTCACATGAATACTTATCAAACGGCCAATGGCAAAATGCACCAGGCATTGCTAGAGCCACCCTTGGCGTGGCCGACATGATTGGCTGTCATCTCTTGCCGCTTGGTTCGGATGGCCCTAAATAGTCGCCAGCACTCCCCACCACCTTGAAGTTTAAATCAGGAACCCAAAGTACAAGATCTGTTAACGAAAGTCTGTCAATCTGCCTATTTTTAGCTGGCCAATAGCTGGCGAGTTCGCTACTTTATGCGGTAGGCGCTTGACTTCACTTGCCCCTGGCTCTCTGCAATAGGTGACGGGCATCGTGGTCCTCGTGCTGTCTGGGCCGGCGGTTTCTTGCATAAATACAGCTGCTGCACCTGTCCAAAAGTCAATTACCAGTCCTCGAAACAGTTATCCCACATTTTCCGCATCATGCCGTTCTCTCATACTCAAGACAGCACCAGGCGCACATCACCGACCCGCTTTCCTCCCCAATGGTCCCGCAAACTTAGCGACCGCACTGGAGGGCTGTACAAGAAAGCAAACACACTGTTCCACTTGGAGCAGGCCAAGATTGCTGTTCTTGTCAGCTCTGGGGATTACTTTCATGGCTATCTGAGCCATGGCCCCGCAGATTGGCCGGAGCTGCATCAGCTGGCGTCTTCGCACGGCATCGCTCTGGCAACACCAGATGACCTTGACACTGTGTCACAACGCTATGCAAGCCGCTCACAGTCGGTAGTCTCGACGGGAAGCAGCAGTACTATAACCGTTGACGCTGAGTTTGATCCTGTCATGCAACTCCTGTCGACGCTCGAGGAGGAGCCTGCGGCCCTCGCAAGCGCTTCGCTGCCAGGTATCAGTTCCAACGCCAGCGCGCCTGTCTGGGTTCCCCCCTCTACTCCCGAAAGGGCTTCGAGGGCGCTGGAGAAGAATACTCCCACTGCCCTGATGAGCACAGAGCCTGTACCCAACAACAACTGCGCAACAAACCCAAGTGTCTGTCAAACAGCGGCCCCGGGTAGCCTCCCGGCAAACGGCAGCCCAGGCACACCGAATCACGCTGCAAGCCAGGAACTCAGGACGTTTGGGGTGATAAAAAGCAAGGTGCAAAAGAGACGGGCGATGGGGAGCTCGAAGAACACGCATGGGGTGACGATCAGAACCCGTGGCTTTCGTGGGTCGAAGGGCAAACACTAAAATCACGCTAGCAATGGAATGCTGGACATTTCATGGGATAGAATTGTACTATATGTCTTTACATCAACTCCAGTAGCTGTTCTTGAATTGCAGAGATTTCTTCGTCAAAATCGGCTGCCATGTCTGTGAATATAGTCGCAGTATCTTCGTCGTCTGTGACTTCGATATCATAGCTACTTTGCCTGGCTAAGAGTTCAAAGAACGGGGCAGGCGAATTGGCAACATCCAGCGCCGTCTCCGTCTCCCGAAGTCCATCTATGCGGACTCGCACTTCATCTTCAAGCGCCTGAATGGTGACAGGAATGGAGTAGGTGAAGTTCGTTTTCGTGGACGTTGAATACGCCTGCCATCCGGAGGAGTCGCATATGGTAGACCTGTGGCAGGTCCCAGATACTTCACAGTACACCCTGACAGAGTGCTCCAATAGTGAATGGACCACGGCATTCAGGTGACGCCCATACGCAAGGCGACACTTCACCAACAGCCGGCAGGAAAATGGAGGTACTGATGTCTTGGCCGGCATGGACTGCACCTCCGTGTAGAACAGCCCTGCAAACATCCTTTGCACGGCTTCGCGAGCACTATGGCTGTCGCAATTGATGACAAGAGCCGGCTGACGCTGCCATGCTAGCTCACACTCGTGGGCAATAGTGGATGCTATTGTAGTCTTGGTGCGACCGCGCCTTTCTAGCAACATGTCCCAGCCTCTCTTTGCTCTGGCGCGTACACTGTTGACGTCGGACACGGAATAGTTTGCTGTACCTTTGACCCCAAGCTGAATCGCGACACAGTTCTGACCCCGCCCGGTGTTTCTTGCCGGAAGCCATGTTCTTTGGCCCTTTAGTTTCCGTGCGCAGTCGGGGAGAGATATGTTGCGGATGAAGTAGTCCTCCGCCAGCCACGCGCCTGGGAATAGTAAGTAACGAACAACACACTGTGAGGGGGCAACTCACACTCTTCAGTACATACAACGATGTCGAAAAAATCCCCAATGGACCCGAAAGCTGCGCTCTCACTTCTCGCAGCCACCGCAACACAAACACCGGCGTGCCAGACAGGCCTAATGCACGAACACCAGCAGCGAGCGGGCTAGCCGGCAGTGAATCGCAGAGAACTCCGCAGAGTGGACAGCTTCGGGGGTCATACATAGCAAGGCAAAAGTCGCAGAGCTGATGGAGGCAAGACAGCTGGCAGGTGGGTACCTTGAGCATGCATGCATTGCATCCTGGTAACTTGACGTGCCCTCGACGAAGAAGCTGTTTGTGCTGGTCTAGGATCGATATCTCTCTATCCCGATGCCGTCGAACGATCTGCAGGAAATGACCCAATGTGGCTCTCATTAACTCGGAACGCTGTGCACAGTTCTTCAGCAGGCGACCACCTAAGCTTTCAAACACCAGGCCAGGTGACGAAACTGCAGCTGTAAGCGGATGCAGGGGATATGTGTTGTGGACAGCAGCTTACCATACGCGTCATCCCGGTAGGCATTGACAGCAACACAGGATGCGATGGCCTCGACGTGCTCCGCTTTGATGTCGTTCAAAGAGCGAAGAAAGGTCATCAAGTAATTCTGCGCCGCTGTCGTGATCTGGTCATGTACGCCCCGTGCACGAAGACAGTGAAAGCTCCCACTCTCATAACTATCGATGGCATGACGGCACAAGCGTTGAAAGCCTCGTTCCGAAAGGCCGAAACCGTAATTCCAGCGCTCCTGGGTAGTCAGAGTAGCAGATCGAAAAATGTCCGACCAGCTATCTGGCGGCCGCTTCTGGATAATCTGCACCGAACGAACTCGGCTTCGCCAGCGGTCGTAGATAGTATGCCGAATGTGGCCTTCGTGGGGGTGCTCAACCCGAAGCATGTCAAGAAGCTCGTCAGTGACCCGACTATGAAAGGTCTCCTGCGTGCAGTCCTTGACGGTCAAGACAATCAGGGACGGTGGCAGCAGATCATCAACGTATGGTAAAAATCGGCTTAACCCAGCTATTACCCTCGCAGCCTGTGTCAGATCGCCAAGAGAGTCGGCAAAGAGCACAACCGCAGAGCTAAGAGGAAAGACGGCTTTCGCAAGGAGGTAGTCGACTTGTGACGGCATCCATTGCACCTGTCGTATTTTCCGACACCAAGCGCTGCCCGAGTCCACGACAAGGACATCGTCTGCCATTCGAATGCGAACACCAGGTACGATGCTCAGGTCGGGGGAAAGAGCAGCAACGGCCAAAAGCTCTGCCGGTCCGCCAATGTTCAATACTAGGTGTCTCGCTGAGTACATCAACGCCATGGTGTGAAGTGAGTTTGATGAAGGACGAGCTGCTGGTCCGGCCCTTGTGGCGGGTTCTTTTATCCAGGTGGTACGCTAGAAACCGTTCCAAGTTATTGGTACTTGCAAAACTCATTTAAAGAATTTGGTAGCTGTTTGCTAATACCGCGGACCAGCCGCTCGTCTGAATTGATATTCACTAACTGGTAAAATTGCTACAGCACTGCACCCACCAAGTCTACACGAACGAAGAAGTGCCCACTTCACCCGCCACACTTCTATAATGGGCATGTGTGCGCACTACGTACACTTCCCGTCGCGAGTCCCCGGTACGCTCTAGCGTAGGCGGAGCGTGCTGAGCACGCAGCTTGAGCGGTGGCGGAAGTAAGGTCGTCTGTGCTCCCTTACCATTACCTCCATCACTTGCAATCGCCGGCTCGCTCTTGCTCGGCTCACGGGGGGCTATTCCAGCTCGACTATCTAAGTCTCGCGGCTGATAATCAAACTCAAAATAGCTTGAGAGATTTAGATGGAGCATTATTTCACTGATTTTCTGCCGAAAATCGAGGCTTCCAGACACTGGCTAGAATAAGCAGACTGGCGTGAAATTAAGAGAAGTTAACACTCACCAGCAATAGCGCATTTGCCCGGATGGGCATTCGAATGATAGGCCATGAAACTCTTCAGCGTTGCGTACCAGGGTGCTTCGCAAATCACAAATAACTCCTTGTGTTTTTCGTCCATTTCATGGATGTTGGCGGCAAGTTCAGTGGACTGATCAAATATCCATATTTTCAAGATGTTCTAGATATGTTAGGCTTCCATGTGGCATCAGGGGCAGGTACGAACTGACCTTGGCTTCGTCGATCGCGGCAAGCCGACGCAAGGCTCCGTTTATCCAATGAATATCTGCGGAGCTTGTCAACACCCAGTAGAGGTTGAGTCTGCACGTCTTATCCCTATGCAGACTTTGCCGTTCGAGTGGTTGAGCCCTCATCTGTCGCCGCGTCGCGGAATCAGACGCATAGCGCTCGACAATAGACATCACTTGCGGCATAGCAGCGGCTATCCCAATACCTTGGGCTACCAAGAGAACGGTGCTGAAATGATGGAGCCCGATCTCCCGCCCGTATGGCCCTTCCACAGAGAGTTCACAATTATTTCTACCAGGGGCAGGCAAATTGCCAACTTCGACCAAGAATGTTAGCTCCTTTGCGTAAAGCGAGTTTCTGGCCCAGCCCTGCCCTGGCTGGTATGGCTCCCAGTCAAACACGGCCATGGGTTCCCCACGGAAACGTCGTAGCCTTGAATCCTTGAAGTGAAGGTAGAAATACGCGCCAGGGTGCACAAGAACCGGGCGGGACAGTGGAACAGTAACAAGAGATGCGCTATGCAACCGGTGAATCGCGGCTATGCTTCTCTGCGAGCGACAGTATCTGTGGGCAGAACCTGCCGCCCACGCAAGCGTGGCGACGGAGAGTGCAATCTTGGACGCGAAGGATTCCGACCACGGCCGTATAAGCCAGAGGTGAAAGATAAGAAAGGTGATGATTGTGAGAACAAACATCGTGTGGGCTCCTGCGAAAACCGCCATGTGCAGCTTTCTGACCCAGAGCAATGAAGAAATAGCCAGGAGCTGTATAATGATAAATGCCTAGACAGTGTTAGCGGCGAACAGCTACTGCACGAGGAAAGTTTGCACTTGCGATGAGTCCGCATGTTGCTTGAAAGGTCTTAGGCATCCCAGCCTTAAGAACAAGTCCTGAGTGAACGATAGCCTCCAGAAATGATATCCTAGCGAACCATTTATGCGCAAAAAAATGTTGCTGGGATGACAGGTTCAGCGACTCGATGAGAATGCGCGTGCGCCCGCTAAGCAGCGAAGGGACAAGGTTCACGGTGCTGGCTACTGCGGAACGTCTGCCCGCTTCTGAACTGCGACCAGCGGCAAGGATGAAAAATGCGTTGGCAGATATGTAAAGACCCAGTAGCGCATAGCGACAGATACGCTCGCCGCAGAGTATGTGTAAAGTACGCGTTAGAAAAGTCAGCCTTGTCTGGTGAACGTCCCCGGAGAGTAGAGGAAATGCATCTTCTAGGTTTTGAAAAATCTGGCGAAACAACCACGGCGGCCATCGCAGAAGAATGACGAACAGAGCAACAGTGAAAAAGCAAATGACGGCAATGTCGGCTGTGTCGAGGGCCATTCCGCAGGGTGTCATTCAGGTGTTCGTGTCGCAGGGTGTCATTCAGGTGTTCGTGTGAGCGGCACATCGTGACAAATGTTGTCGATTTCGACATCAAAGCCTTATAGTCCCTTCCCGCTTTGTGTATCCTCAAAGCGGTTTCGCAAAACCGGATTTCCCAAGAAGGTCTACAGATTATGCACGTTCAAGTCGGGACCGCCAATAAGCTATTCGCGGAGTGGGCCTGCGCTGCCCTTCCCCGCCGTCAGCTCACCCCAGTAGCTTTGTCTTTGAAGACGTCAAAGCCTCCTTCTATGCAAAAGGCTTATGGCGCGATGGATTTGGTCTCATTAGTTAACTAGCTACTGGGCGGCGCTGTTGAGTAGCAGCCTTCATCGCCGGCGCTACCCTACCCTTCCTACTGACCGCAATGAGTGATATCATGGTTTTTTTAAAGCTGCTTTATTTTACGGAGAGTTTGAAAGGCATAGAAATTTGCTACTTAGCCTATTAGAACCTAAAAAATAGGTGCTACAGGAGCTACTAAGCTTGTAGAAATGAAACTTTTATTCGCAGATCATTTTGGTACATGACCTGGCTAAAAACGCTGTGTTTCGAGAGGACCCATTTATAGTTTACCTGCCCAAGTAAACCTGAATGCCAGCTAACTGACGGTCACACAGCAGCTTCCTTATAATTCGATGGATAAAATCTCGTCGTCACTATCGTCGAATCCTTGCCAGTTTGACGAGCGCTGCCCACCCCTAGGCTGTCTTTGCAGAAATTCATGCAACATATTTGTATCAGGAGTCAGCGGCGCAGCCCCGTCTGCGATGACATCGCTACCCGGAAGCCATTGGGCGGGCAAACTAGATCTAGGGGACGTGGAAGCAGTTGCCGCCTGCATATACGATTGTGGTCCTGCGCTGTGGTTTGTGCGCTTGCCGGCCAGCGTTAAAGGCTCCGCGGTATGCATTTCGACAGGATATTGTAAAGAGGAGCGAGGTATGGACGGCAAACTGTTCCCGCCATCCCAGTCCACATCGCTAAACGGGGCTGAAATACCGCTGCTGGGTTGAGGCATCGAGGGTGGTCGAAGTGATGTTTGGCTAACGGCTCCAGAGCGGCTGGAGCTTGGACTTGGCCATTCACGAATCGGAGCGGTCGAATATGTTGGTCTTGGACTCTCACTCCGGCTGCTGCGAATTCGCCATTTCCGCCGACGCATTGAGCAATTGCTACGTACCCGTCTTTGGCTCGGCAGAGATATAGACGATACATCGCCGTGCTGACGCCGGGAAGTAGTTGATCGACCGTGAGAGCTCGTCGAAAACCGCGGATTTTCCAATACCCGGTGAATGGGGGGGTTGCTGGATCGAGCAGATGCCATGTGATGGTTGGATACCTTCTGACGCCATTCTTCAATATTCGCAGCAGACTGGGTGACGGCTAGCCTTGACATTGGCCGTTGCTCCGACTCTTGGTCGTCCTGGGGAATGATCCTGTGATGCAGATGTGCAATTTGATTCTGCACAGATACTCCGGATATTGAAGTCGCACCACTTATATGCTGCCTCTGATGCTGAAGCTTTTCGGTGCGCCGTACGGTACCAGTATCTCTGCCGCAACTGAGTGACAAGGACCGCGCCACAGTAGGCGTGGAAATATCTGGGTCCACATTGTTTTCGCAGGTGTGGATAATATCCTTTCGCGCACCACTTTCTGCCTCAAGGTTTTGGGCTTGTCTAGCTGCTCCGTGCTCGTCTTCTCCATATTCCCGATTCGCCTGGACATCGACCCCATTCTCACAAGTGAATTCTGGGTTATCTTGGATATCCTGCATTGGCGCACCACTGCCCACTGCTACCACCAGAGGGCGGGCATCGCAGCAGTCAGTTTCGGTGGCCTCCGCGATTGGCTGTAGTGCAGTGGAATGCGAATAGACGGCTGGTTGCGTGACTGTTTCAATGATGGTCTCCTGGAGGTATACCGGCGGACGTGAAGAATCAAGTTCGAAGTGAAACGGTTCGAAGAACGTTGTTACGAAGTCTCGTAATATGAAAGCTGTGGTCACGTAAGAAGTTTGTGACAAACGTGCTATAGTTGGTAGAAATGCTTGCGTCTGGATAATGCGATATACGCCCTGGTATGGCCTGCCCCATCTGTGATATGGACGGATCAGTAGCTTGGCTTCATCGGCAGATGCTGTAGCGTGAGGCTGACGCCACTGTCCACTGCATTGTGCAATGTGGCCAGCTGTAGCTGGATCAAACTCCGAAGTGTTAAAACCTAGCATTCTGGCTCTTTGATGGAAAGAAGCCACGCAGTGAAGGTCGATGGAGAGTAACATTCTCTCACCTTTCTCAACCTTGGGCTTTGTGTTTGCGAGGTATGGAAAAAGGCGGAGAGCCGATAACAGGAGCTGAACGTAAGAAATGGTAAAAGAAGGTGGCCCGCGAGCGGGTTGGAAAACTCCTTCATTCATTTCAATAAGAGGTCCCTTCTCCATCCAGCAGCTCCGCAGCGTCGCAGCCAGTGACAGCTGTTTTGCTTTCGCTGTCGCCCGGAGGCCTTTCGGAATGAGGTAAGTCCATAGTATTCCAGCTGCAACACCTAGATGTTCCATATTCATATGCAAGGACCTTAGGCTGTGGATTAGACCAGTCTCCGCAAGCACGCAGCTTTCCATCTTTAGCAACAGGGACGCATCGAAAACGCTGCTTGAATCTCGACGCTGTTGAAATGACGAAGCGATCCAAGCTTGATCCTCTGTGCTCACGGAAGGTGCCCGGCCCTCGAGCGCCGTAACGGTATCTTTGTCGAGCAAATCGAGCCTGCATCCGTCTGTGATGCGCGACCATTGCTTGTGAATGTTATCCAACCCTGCCAAAAGCTCATCATCAAGGCGCTTATCAAATATTTTGAGAAAGTAACTCAGATGAAGAGATTCGAAAACGCCCTTCAGCGGGATTAGCCTATCGAGAGCCTCTGTAATGGCTGGTCGTTTTGTGATGTAAAAGAACGCTTTTTGCTTCGTTATGCTGAGTCTCTCATGCCACTCGCAGAAGTTGATATGGTCGCCACCGTACCCTCTTAGTTTTGTGTATATTTCACCATCAGAGTTGGACATCTCATGCTGGTACTGCTCCGTTTGGCATCTCACGATGCGATTCTTGTGAAAGCTGTACGGGTTGGTTGAGTGGAGCCTGATAGTCCAACAAGAAGACGGGTCAATTCTCTTCGCAGCGTCAACTCGATGTCTTCCCTGTGTAAATGCAACAGTTTGTTGTTCCACAAGTGGGTACTCTTCCCGCGAATTTATGCCGCCAAGCTGCGATCGGCTCAGATTCAGATCACTGAGAAGGCCTTCTTCCGCGGCCTGCTCTATGTAGCCATCAATCCAGTGTCGCCGATCGGCATGATTAACTGATGTCCCTCTAAATAGTATCTCCAGGTGATCTGTTTGCTTTTGGTTGTAAGGTCTCTCGCCAGTGCCCTCAATGAAGTGAAGATTCACAAGTGGTACTCGGATAATGCCAATAAATCTGACGTCGCCTCGGCTTTCCATCGTGATGTGGTTGTGCAGTCCTCCGAGGACACAAATTGTTGGTCTCGAAGAAGAAACACATACAAAAAGGCATGGTCATCTTAATAATGACACTCGCTAAACTAGTAAACTGTACTGTAGTTCTGGTTTATTTTTTTCTGAAAACCGAGAACACCGACGGATGTAAGGCTATACCACACCACGCTTGCTAAGCGACAGCGTGCAGTTTTGCGTGTCAATGAGGGTTGCTTCTACTTTTCGTCCGCCTCTTTATGGAGGTAGGTGCCTACGCTATGGGGCGTATGAAAATGGGAGGTGTGCCTTCATACGACACCGTATGCGTCCATAAGATGGCGTATGAAAACAGGGGTGTGCCTTCATACGAGAGCGTATAGCAATAGGAGGTGTTTTATACGACAGCGTATGCCTATACGACAGCGCATAGAAATACACCCACCCCCCTTCCAGGCTGGTCGAACACCCGCTCCCTTTCACGGGCACATCGTTGTGCCCAGCTCAACGTTGTGCCCAGCCCGTTGTGCCGGGCACAACGCCCACTCCCTTTCGAGGCTGGTCAAACACCTGCTCCCTTTCACGGGCACATCGTTGTGCCCAGCTCAACGTTGGGCCCAGCCCAACGTTGTGCCCGTGAGGGGGGGCAGGTGTTCGACTAGCCTGGAAGGGGAGTGGGCGTATTTCCATACGCTGTCGTATGAAGGCATACGCTGTCGTATAAAACACCCCCAGTTTCCATACGCTCTCGTATGAAGGTATACCTCCCATTTTCATACGACATCTTATAAAGGCATCCTGCTCCTGTCTGAGAAGCGTGCGTGGACTACTGTCAATTATTTTGCGCCTACTAGCAAATTACCAAGTTACTCTCCCTCCGAATCTATATAGCCTTAGAGCACCTGCACCTGATTAATCATCCATGGCGTTACACGGAGCTGCTGCGCCTGCTTGCGGTATGTTCCATATTGAGGGAAGTGGACAATGGTCATGGTTGGATTCGATAGCGCCTCAGCAAGTGCGCTAATTCCAGCGTAATTTGGGCCGGCCTGCTGCCTTGTTATAGAGAAACAGACGTTGGTGGCGGGGTTCCGCCTATCAGGACCATATTAATTGGTGGGGGTGGTCTGTCAACCGACCTTGTTTCTATGCCTGGAAAGGATCGATGTTGGGGATTTGCAGAACCACATACATACTCAAGCTGCGGCGGGGGGGATAACTACCCCATAAATCAGCGTCAAGAGGCGAAAATCTCGGATTCGTTTCACGTCCCAAAATTTATGATGTCGTTTCCAGGCTCTAGAGCGGCGTGCACGCAAACCCAAGTGGCAGAAACAGCATGATAGAAACAGCATGATAGAAACAGCATGATAGAAACAGCATGGTAGAAATAGCTTCCTTATTCCCTATCTCCATTTTCCAACCCAACGTTTATATAAAATATCTGATAACGTCGGTGCCGCCGCTTTTGTTTCGCTTTATGCTCTACACAAACAATGGGTTTCCTAGGCATTGTCGAAGTTCCTGTTGCTCACCTTCTCTTCGTTGAGGGAAGTGGACAACGGCTGCGTAACGATGATCATCGACACCGCTTCGCAGACCTTCAAGATACGGACAGGGTGCACACCGACATGAGGCAGCTTATCGCAGGGTATATTGATGCCTCCGAAACAAACGCGATTCTTCGGGATGCTGGCACTTCACCCTTGAAGATTAAACGGCAGAATAAAAGGGGCAAATACCCATTTATTGAAAACGCCATCGTGCGATACACACATGGACGACACCTTATTGCAGCTGCCGTGGCTGTTGACTCGGCAGCACGGTGGGCCGTCAGGCTATACCAAACAACAAACGGACGCCTTCCATGGAGCCCAGGGGTGCGAAGATGCACCAAAAAGTACCAACATGAACAACAACAGACGGACGGTCAAATCTACCGCAAATTAAGGATGTATCCAGATAACGGACCGGACTATAATAAGTGGTACAGCCACTTAACAGAACCTAAGAGGATCGGGATGGCAGCAATCGACCAGCGAGTCGATATATCTTTGGAGCTCAACAAGCTCACATATATACCCGCTGTCCTTGATGAGCTTTACTTGACAAGTATCCAGAAGTCCTTTGTCTCGCGCTTAGACGAAGAACTTCTTGCTGGCATCAGGAACCTCTACTCTGAGTGGCTCAGACTTGCACGCGGCAATATGAACATCTTGAAGAAAATGGACAAGGAAACGGTGAATGCATTGGCTGGACGCGCTCCGCGTGTCTGTGACAAAGACCGCCTGTTCATTGATGACATGTTTAGCTCGAGACAAGTCTTTTCAAAGGTGGATAACCCGGAAGAACGTGAAGCCTTGCGGCTCCGCGTGCAACAATCAAGCGGCATCATACCGAGTCTGTTGTCACTGCAGTCTAATCTACGATTTTTAGGTATTGCAGCCAATATTATATGGCAATATCTTATACCAAAGAGTCTAAGACTAAAGGCCAAACAGTCTAAGCTCTCGTTGAAGGCCACATTGCGCGGATGCTGGACTTCAACTGTGCCCTATATCGAGATTCGCGAAGGAGAATTTGTATCAGCAACTGGGCCTCCTAACTTCGATCTTGTCTATATACAATTGTTTCTCGCAGCAATCCGTCATTTTCCGTATCTTAGCTGCTTCCAACCGAAGATGGGGAGAGGAGAAACGCTACAATTCACACACGATCCACATCACGCAGGCCTTTTTGTTCGGCGCGCCAAGTTCCTTGGTGTACAGACGGCCACCATAGATGAGAACATCAAGGATTTCTTCCCCGACGGAAATTATACGCAGCAATTACAGTTCCGAAACCTACCTGACGAGTCAGAAGTTCTGTCTCGGCTTGGGAATCGTTGGGGTAGGCCCTCTGCGAGTATCTACTGGAGGATCCGACAGGAAGGCTTCCTTCCTACTATAGTGGCTCACACAGCAGAATCACGACTCAGCGCGATATTCGTACTGCGGAGCACATTGAGGTCCTGTTTCAACTTGCCGTCATTCAACATTGATTTTGCACAGGGTATTTGTTCCCTCACCGCGCGGCCAAAGCGGGCTCGCTACCGCCAGCTGGAGACAATCACGGAAGAGGATGAGCTTGATATGGCTGCTAATTCCCGATTAGGCAAGAGAATCAGGTCGGATGTTCCTATCCCGGTTGCCGATTCTCGGTCAACTGCAAGGAGCGGCTCAGACACCTCTATGCCAGATGCCAGTCCTCTGTTGGGATGCAAGAAGCTCGTCCGACGTCTTCCTCTATGGGATGCAAGAAGCTCGTCCGACGTCTCTATGCCAGATGCCAGTCCTCTATGGGATGCAAGAAGCTCGTCCGACATATCTATGCCAGATGCCAGTCCTCTCTCTCCGGACCGGCAAAGCATTATGGCGGCCACTGATCCACCACGATTCGGCCGAGATATACAGCTGGCGCAGCCAAACTGGCACCGGGAGAGGGGAATTTACGGGGTCGATGATACTCTGCCCACAGCTACGATGCTTGAATACACTGTTCCACACTCGCACTGCGTCCCACGCCGCGTATCTAAGCGCCGAATTGCCACTATACCGCACCAATGACCATCAGTGACCTTCAGAGTATATCTTCCCAGCCCCAGTCCTCTTGTATCCACAACAACTCGCCTGCACACAATATGCCCCGAAGCGCAACATCAGCGCAGAAATCACAACATCGCTGGGTCGGCGCTCACGGTCAACTAAGCCTTAAGACGAGGCTAAGAGGCTGTTGTCATGCCAAGGTACTCAAGTTCAGAGAGCATGTTCATAAAGGACTACTAGAGCATGGAAAGGGGCAAGGTGGAGGTTGATGGCTATACTCTTTGAGCTGGTCAAACGGGGTTCCGGGCGCGGACATCAGCTGGCTATTGAGCGCAAAGGGCAAAAGAGAGCCCGTTGATCGGGAAACGAGAAGAAAACGAGAGAAGAAATAGTAGACCTTTGCACAGACTGTTATTACCGGCCGATTCCGAAGGTTGAAATCAGTCTCAACTCAGACAACATCAGGTTAGAGACTGACTTTTTAACATGCTTTTACACTTGCATACTACTTCTCGAATAATTTGTGTGAAGAATCATACCCACCCCGCTTGCTTTCATGTCTCAGACAGCAATGAGACGAATCATCCAAAATTATTTGTTGCCGTTGACACTCCCGCCCTGCCAACTGTTTGTATTGTACTGTAGCTATAAAAAACAGCGGTCCTGCCTGAACAGATGCAATGGCCAAGGTGCTAAGAGAACAAGTGTGGCCGTTCCTTCCCAACGCGCCTTTGTTGTTTGATGCTGTTCCTCCGACAATATCTCAAGCTCTGAACAAAATAAGTGGCGGCTCTGGCAGGTACGAATGCTGAACCTCGGCCTTGCTGGCTCTCTGCCATGTCCACTAGCCCAAGCAGCGTGCACAATGTCGCGGCGCACTTTCACTTGGCTACTCAGCAGCAAGTACACATTCCGCGGAACGTCATTGTGAAGAATCCGATCATGAATCCGGGTAAGCAGTGTTAGGAGACGGTGGCCCAACAACAAGAGAGATAAATGCGGAGGCGCTAGAAGACAAAGATGGAGTCGGGCCGCTGGAGTGCCGCCCGTCTGAGAGGGGTTGGGTGCCGCCAGAAGAGTAAGAGTTTGATAATTGGCGCGAGCGCTTGGCGGATCGGCGGATAGGCGGCCTTCCGAGAGGCATGTCCCTCAAGACGGCTGACGCTGCTCTGTGTGCGGCTGGCTGTCTTTTCCGTACCGGCGGTTGCGATGATAGAGGCGGTGGTGGTTGGACTGGTAGCTTGGGTACCAGCATCGGGAGTGACGGAGCCCCGTCCGAGCCGAGTAGAAAGCACTACGCTTCGAATGCCGCAAATTGCTCCGCTTTCTGTTTCCGGGCTTAGACATTTTACTTTTGCAATAACCGAGGATGGTGGAAGGCGTACCTTCTTATCGGTGAACAGAGCGGGTAGTTTTTCCTTACGCGGCCGTGGGAACGTCTGCCCGCTCTCCAGAACGCATCTACAGCGCCACCGGGGCCGAAAGACACCTTGGATGGGTACTTGGATGGCTTCATACATTGCAAAAGTGGGAAAGCCCAGCCCTCTTCTCTGTGCGAGGCCTAAAAAGCACTTGTTAGTCACAGCCAGAAATGCTCCTCTGGAGACAATGATAAAGGCCACCTTTCCGACAACCGAGTGCAGAGAGATGTCATACCGATCAGCTTAGTGACGTGGTCTTCCTCCGTGGACATCTCAGGCTCCTCAAAGAAGTTGGCAAACTGCGAGAGGGCGAGCAGCTGCGCGCAAGATATGTGGCATGCCGAGCCAGTTCTCTTTTGCGTGGCCTCCGCCTCATCAATCCAGGCGCGGATGCCAGTCCAAGTCGGCAAATCAGGAACCGCGGTCTGCATCATCAGCTCTGGGAGTAGAAGACGAGTTTAATGAAAAGTAATGGAAAGGAAAAGCATAAGGCGCAGCGGCCCGGGCAGGCCCCTATATTATGGCTTTGGCTTAGACGTGCACACCCCCACCCCAGCTGTTTTTCTCACTAGTGTAGTCCCCTCTGGAAAACAGCTACTGCAAAGCTCCCTACCAGCGGGGACTGAAACGACAGCCTGGCAGCCCATGACTACCTATCACAACGGCATTTTAAGGTACACACACTGTCTACCTTTTGATTTGATTTGATTATTTACATCTGTTGGCGCCCTAGAGTAGGCTTTTAGACATGCTATCGAGCCTTCTAAGGATAAACGTGCAAGCGTAGCAGCTTAGTAGTCCCCCACCGGGCGCGCGCCGCGCCCATGTTCTCACGAGCAGCCCCTGCAATCCTCTCCCTGCCATCATCCTCCAACTGCAGCAGTGGCGCGCCAGATGGCATTTATTTGTCAGAATCGATATCCGTCCGCGAGATCACGATGATGTTAGCGTGATGCGCTCGCGGCGGTAACCGCGGGCACATTGCGCAAGCAATTTTTGTCGCCTGGTCTTTGTACGGGGACCACCGGGAGCCCGAGGCCTGCTGTCGGTGGCATATTTCGCCCACAATAAAGCAAATGATATGAATTCGACGAGTAGCGTGAACTGCTCAGGCTAGATACTGTATAGAGCGCGCCAGCAAATATCCAACCGACTAGCATTGATCGATAGCCTCTCCAAACGCGGCAAGAATAGGGTTGTAAAGCCGCTCCGGATCTCCTCCAGGTGTTCCAATCATCATCCGCTCATCCTTATCAAGTGGGAAGAGAAGCTTCCTCATGCGCAAGCACAACGACTTGATCATGCCAAATGACCCTGGAAACTCATCCATAATGTCCTCCAAACTGTTGACAGTCATATGACCCATTTTTGCACTCGCAATGTCTTTGAAGCTGCCTATTTCCCATTTGCGCAGAATGCTTTCTTCTGGCGCTGTTTCGCCCTCTTTGCGGAAACATTTCACTCCATCCCATGCACAGCGTGCGCACATCCATAAGAGAACGTAGAAAAAAGATTCCAGGTCATGGCGATAGGTGTGGTCGACGCCGCGGAGCACCTCGATCGCCATAAACTGCATCGTACCTGTCCGATGGCGTGCACCGCTAGGACCGCTATCTCGTTCCTTGGCAAGATCAAGGTCGATGAGCAATCCCTTGAAACCATCGGCCTTCCCGGGACTTGGCATGATGATGTTGTTCGACGAAATATCGCGATGCAGTATCCCACCCTTTAGGTACAGGGATCGGTGCGCTCTGATGGCGTCATGGAGTGCTTCGAGCAGCTCTCGGATGGTGCTGAAGTCGCTGAGGACACGTCCCGCAGGGGAAATGACAAGGCAGGATAAAATGCGGTTCTCGTACGGGTCCTCTTGGTTTGGGGTGTATATGCTCGACTTCGGTTCGCCGCTCGCTTCGTCTCCGCTCGATTGATCGTACGCTTGCCTCGGTGTAGACTTTCGACTGTTGGACTGCCGCGTCGTGCGAGGACGCGGATTGTCCGAGGACTTGCGTTTTCGGCTGGAGCCGCTGCTCTCCGAGCCCTGCAGGCGATTGTACCCGCCTGATCGGTCGTGGGCTGTCGCTCGAAAGGCATGCCGTGTGTTGCTGGAAAAGTCCAGGCCTGCTCGCAGCGCAGCAATGCTGGTAATCTCGCGATGCCCTACCAGTGTAGCAACGCCTTCCACGCCTCTCTCCTGTGCAAGCTTCAGATGCTCGACTTCGGACGGTTGGCGCTTATCCGAACGCCAGGAAAACTTAGCCACGCCCTGCCTCGTCAAAAAACAGGTTGTTCCCCTGCATACCACGGCCCGTTGCCTGACAAGCAACCCGTT